ATCCGTAAAAACCACAAAACTTCGCGTCTATTTCGACACATCATCACATGCTGAAGGCAACCTTTCATTAAATGGTTGCTTAGAATTAGGCGTTTCTTTCGACTTGAAACCTGTTTCACTACATTTAGAACTTATTGGCTTTTTGGAAAATCTAGCTGCTGCACTTGAACTGTCCTGGTTCCAAACTGCGGCTCTTACTGACATGAAGTTTAGCCACCCCTGTTATATATATACAATAAACACATAGCAAAAAAATAAGTATAAAGTAATAAAAACTATAAAATAGTAAGAATTGACATGCCATAAATATTTAAAACATAAACATATAGGTTATTAACAAATATAAATTGCAATAACAGTAACAAGATAACAGCTCTAATTTAATAGTCAGTACAGAGTACAGTAAACTATAAATCTACAGTAATAATAATAATAATAATGAATGCATAATAAATATGCAATAAATGCACATTTATAATAATAAATGTAACATGAATAATTAGCATTCACAGTAATTATTATAAATGCAAAATACAATAAATTTAACAGTTGCACGACTTAATACAAAGTGCAGTTACAATAAATATAACAGTCCATAATAAGTTGAATAATTTCATCTTGATTTTCAAATAATATCCCTTAACGTTATATCTATTTATTTAAGAACGACTACAATAATTCTAAAGATTTAATAGTTCTGTGATTATTTTGACATACATTCACGTGCATTTTAGTGTGCATCACTAAATCTCGCGAATTTATCCCGAATTCTATAATCTTCCTTAAAATTTGCCAGCATTTTATACCTATAAATAGTAATCTGCGATTTTGCAAATAAAATGTAATAAAATTATTTTTAAAAAATCACTTAGTATACGGTTTTAGCACATGTTTACATTTTGTCCCCATTTTTGAGGTAAGTGTCTCTTGATCTTTAAAACAGGCACTTTATAATAAATCTCTCATAATTATTAATTTGAATTTATTTTAAGGGAGGCTTTAGGATCTTCGTATTTAGTCCTTAGTACTTCTAAAATTAAATGTTTCCATATAATGAGTATTGTACACATTTTCTGTGTTACACACAATATTAAGAGCATTTCGTTAGCTTTGTCGAGCTATGCAAGAGCAGTGCTGTTTAAAAAAAGTGAAAATATCTTTTAAATCTTCATGATTTTTCATTCTGTAATTTTGTATAGTTAGGAAATTTAAATCCATCTTTCCATATTTATTGTCATATGTGTATTCATATGGCATACAACTTTTTTATTCATATTCTTCCGAAATAGCGAAATTAGAGTTTCACATCCGAAACACTGTTCATTTACAAACATTTTAATAGGAAAAATATTTTATTTAATGAGTAATATTGTTGTTTTCTTGTGATTGCGCTACAAGAGTCGGTGATCAAAATATTTTGGAGCATCAGCTAGGTAATTTTTTATATTCTAATTATATGCTATCGCTTTCAGAAAACTAAATGTTTTATTTATTATAACAAAGAGGTAGCAAATTTCCTGAATAAATTTAATTTCTCAAGGAATAATAAACTTGGTATATATTCATATACTATCCGCTTGTGTAATGTATACACGAAACATTGAGGTAAATATTTTAACTTATAATGCTGTTGTCAAAGTTTGCTGATATAAACTAACTCTTATTGTAGCAGACGACTGAATAAAAAAACGTATTTGTTCTTTAAGAGGCAAAAGAAAGTTAAATAAACATTAATTTTTAACTTCAATTTAAAAAATAAATATATAATTGTAGTTAAGGTTTCTTCTTTATTTAGACAAACTAGCTGTATTAATATATCGAGCTTATCAGTTAATTACAGTTCTTCGGTAGCATGTGTCAACATAAATACCATCATTTCTTTTCAAATTTCTGCAAACATACTGTATTTTATTTCCTACAATGAATATATTTCAGCGGCAGTTTGTATACATTTCGTTCAACAATCCATTTTAATTTAAATATGTCATTCAGTTTATGAAACAGCGCCTTGCAAAACAAACAAAGTCAGTTGAATGACAGGTTTACGGAAGAAAGATCTTTTCGCGGTTTACTGTTACGAACGTCAGGTCGAAATTCAAAGCAGACATCTTTTGTGTAAGGAACAATGCTATTTATTCAGCAAATTTTTCGCGACACTTATCTATTAAAATCCCCTAACCCAGTGTGATCCTGTTTCGTAAGAGTAAACATAAAATTCTTTTTCATAGAAATAAATGAAATGGGACTTTTGAAATTTTTTGAATGGTCTTGTCAAATTTGCCAAGCTTCCTGCCAGTATAACAGTCGCCACAACCAGAGGAAATTCAAATAACAAAGACGAACAATGTGTCCTTTAAAGAAGACGGAAATTGGTGGCAATGTATTTAACACAATAGATTATTTTTTTTTTCCCTTCTAAATATACCTTCTGCTGCTGATATGAACTGCTACAAAAGGAGCTAACATATTAATTAGTTATGAAATCTTATCTCAACAAAATGTTGGTTCTAATTTTGAGAAAAATGTTTAGCCTCGTTACGAATTAAACGAAGCGAGGCGAGTATCGCAATGGAGAACAACGCCGATGCTTTTCCAATTTTTTTTTCTTTTTTAAAAAAGTAAAAATTTGTTTAAGCGGACGCAAAAGAGTTGAGGTAATTAATGTTTTGTGTTATTTGTTGTTTTCCCTATTCCTAGAAAATGCGATTCTTTTGTGTTTTGTGTCTAGCTTGTTGATTCACCTTTTAAGCTGCTTAGAGAAGCTTTTGTTTCCAATTTTCTTGTTTTCTAAGCTTTCTTTATTCCCGCTGATAGAATGTGTCCCCGCTTTTGGCTGTCTGTTAAATGTCTTTTCTTCCCCGTTATTGAATTTTTCTTTCTAGTCTGTAATTTTAATTCCTCATATGTTTGAGAAATATATTAAAACACTATGCGCTTTTATAGGGAAATATTAGTTCAATCGTAGAATATAATCATTGTAATCCCATTGACTTTTAATGGCACTCTTAACGGATTAAAATTCGCTGTATTTCAAGAGAGGAAAAAAAAAAAAAAAAAAAGCTTCTAAAAACTTATCTAAAAATTCATTTCTTTTCCTTTGCGAAAAATGGAATTACAAAATATGGTTGAAAAATATTTTTTCCAGTTTTTAAGCTATAGAATTATTCCTTTTTATGTTAAGAACAAATTACCTGTAAAAGAAATCGAAGCTGCACTCGCAGCAAAAACGATTTTTCTGATTGTTATTACCATAAAGTATAATGCTGTTCGTGTGTAATTATGTATAAAATGCATTCTACGGCAATTTATGTTAAAATCTTTTAACACATTTTTCAGATGATATCAAGAATTTGTTACTCACTCTAAACTACGCGCTGTTTACTGTAATATTTTAGTCAACTTAATAATATAAACACTATTATAACTTGTATTATTAAATTCATCCCTATTTATACAAAAGTAGTGATATTTGAGGTAAGCATAAATGTTCGATTTCATTATAAACTATTTGTTGTATTTTATGGCATCTATTTTATGTATTGTGTAAAGTGATTCTAGACTATTTAGTTTATATTTTTAGATATAATTACTGTCGGAAAATATATATAGAAAAGATACTGAAATTGATTTTAAGCTTATTTTGAAATGAAATTTGATGGCACTAGCTATTTTTCATTTAGAATTGCTTCAAGCATAGTAGAAATGCTATGCGGTAAATGTTGCTGTTAATATACCGCAAATGAAATTACCGCAAAAAATACCGCAAATGAGTTAGGTTGACTAAACTTTGTTGGAGTGCATAGTAAAATATATGCTATGATACAGTTTTGAGTGTCTAGTGTGTGAGTTCCGATAATTCTGATTGAAAAAATGAGATGATAATTATTTAGGGAAATGAATTCTTTGATAAATTATTATGGGTTAATAATAATCATACACATCAAATATTCCATATCCAAAATTGTCGAATTAACTGGACTTTTGAGCAGTTTATTAGTTGAAGTTTCTTTCAAAAGACTTCTATAAAAATTGTAATTATCTTTCTATTTAAAGGTGCCACGTGGATGAAATAATCATAATCTAAAAATAAATCTTCTTTGATTCTTTTCGTAAAGTAAACCTTATTTATTTTTCCTTTTGATTTTGAACTTTAATTATGTATCTACGGCCAGCGGTTCAGTAAATATGTTGTTGTCTATGTTCTTTGATAGAGAGAGAGAAAATTTGCCTTGCCAAATTATTGAGAATCCTGAAGACAGAATAATAAAACTTGCATTCATAATCACTGAAGATGCTCATGTCAGCTAATGTGTAAAAATAAAGTTTTCATCCATTCTTTCCATTAGTGTAGGAAATATCTTTAAAAATGATAGGAATGCGAAACTAGGTCGGGGAACACTCAGCGACACGCGGTTCTTCTCAAGGTCAGCATAGAAACAAGGTTCAGTTCTTTCGAGCCTTCTAGTTCAACGACGTCATTTGACGTATAGTAATGGACGAACGAAAGACCAAAACTGAGTAGGGAATATTTGTTTTTGAGCAGACTATGAGTCAGTGACGTCATGCAAGAGCAGACCTAGTAGTATAGTAATAACCTTGGTCTAACAAAGTATGCAGAACTCTAAAAAATGCTAACTGTGCTGAGTTTTCACTAACTTCGATTTTAATTCCAGTAAAGAATCTTACTTATTTATACCCTATATATATTCAGTTATATGCTTAGATTATTTTGAAAATGTGATAATCTATAATACAGTTAAAAACATAACTAAAAAAAGTCTGAGTAGGAAGTTTTAATATCCACTACGTAATTAGGATCAAATAAATAAAATAAAGTGTAGAAAATATAGATAATAAAATAAATAAATACGTGACCGTTGAATAAAGATTTTAATGCCTGATATTAATTAAATGTATGAAAACGTGATGTAGAGCATATTTTCTTTCTTTAATATTTTGCCCTATTAAGACGTCGGGAGTGAATATCTTTATCCTTTCAGTATCCGCCACTGACATGGAGTTTCCTGGAACCAGGAGAAGCCCCTACCCTTCAATGTGCCACGCCCGGTAAGTTTAGACGACCCCTCCCTCCTACCCTTACCCGAACCTTCTTGTTAAGCCCAATTGTTCCTCTTACAACTCTTTTCCTTTTTCTCTTTTCTCGTATTTGTGCTTATTAAACGTTAGCGAGCAGCCTAGATGTGTCCTGAATCTTTCGATATCGGTTGTTGTTTCTACATAGGAAATGTAAATTTTGATTCGCATTTAGCTACGAATCTCTGTCGTTGTTTTCGTTCGTAAAGTTCTGTGCAAATATTAAGAAAAATGTAAGCAGAGTTTTTTTTTAATCTGTTTCTCGTTATTATTCGTATAAATATTTCGAATATTGTTTGTAAAGAAGGTTTAAAAAAAAAAAAAAGAACTGCATGGTGAAACGAAAATAATGGTACCAATACAAGTTTGCTAAGGTGGTTTTTTATTTTATTTTTATTTTTATTTATTTATTTTTAAGATTCTTTCCCTTAATCCCTAAATTTTATCTTTAATTTTTTAAAAAAGTGTCAGAATTGTCTTGTTTAGTTTTTTTTAAATGTGAAATATATTTGGTAGCAGTTTGAGTGTCACATTATTGTAAATAACTGAGAGCGAGGATATTTGTTGATATATAATAGCTCAGAATTTAATCAATGTAAAGTATGATCATAAATAAGTGTCGTACGCTAAACATAATGAAATCCGATTTCAATGCAATAGATCATCTTTTATTTACTTGTTCCTCTACTTTGTCAAGTAAAAAATTTCATCATCTACATAATTAATTCTGTTGCATATAATCATAAATATTGCAATGCAAGTACAAATGCAATTAGTCAGTTAGAACTACATGACACAATAAATAACAATAATTATATTACACGTATTAGGTTTATAAGATAGTAATTGTCTTATCCCATGAACTTTCTGAGTCTAATAAAAGTTAATTTGAAAAAAATGATAGTCATATATATATGTGCAGTCAAACTCCGCTATAATGAATCCGGTTTACAACAAACATCCGTATATAGCGAATGACCTTTCTGGTCCCGCTCGATTTGCTGTAGACTTAATGTTACTTTATACCAGTGCTCCGCAACCGGTGTGCCGCGGCACACTGGTGTGCCATGAGTAGGATATAGGTGGTATCAAAGTGAGTAGGATACATGTATATCAAATACATGTATTTGACATTTTGCAATTTTTTATCATGTATTTAATACACAATGACAATTTTTTTCCCTTAATAATGTCTATTTTAAATGTTTTTATATATTTCACTGTTGTGTGGTTGTGTGTGTGATTGTAAATGTGTCAGCATTTGAATTTCCTTGATAACTCGGAACTCTTTGGTGTGCCACGAAATTCAGAAAGATTTTTTGTGCGTCGCAGGTGAGAAAAGGTTGCGGAGCACTGCTTTATACGACTAAAGAAAACTTCCAGATGTATAAAAATTAGGTATAACGAACTTTTTAAATATCTTAAATGAAATGTTTTGTATTTTTCAAACTTTTTTCCTGAATTTTTGCAATTTTCAACAAAAAAAATTATGAACCCTTAAATTCATACTGCTTAGAGCATACTAGCATGACGAAAAGTACCTTTAGATTACTGTTCTTTTAACTTCACCTCCCCATTTCTGTTTGTTCTAAGAAAAAGGCAAGTGTAGCACTCAGTTCTTGGAAAACCCGCACTCACAATAAGTACTATAATGTTGTGCTTTGCAATATCTACTTGTTGAGCAGATGAAGTACGTGCAGGAACCGGATAGAAGAAGAGTAAAGAGCACCCTTTATTAAAACTCTTTAAAATTCACAATGAGTCGACTTGACGATAACAAACTACGCCTCGCTCGGGCGGTAACTCAACAAATGAGTACTAAACTAAAAATTCAAAGATATTAACAAACAGTAGAATTTTTCCCCAGGACTTAGATAATCCTGTTTCTTAAAACTGCGTCGAAGTCTAGTGGCAGCAAAGTAACAGCTGTTACGCTACTTTAACCAGCAATAAATGCAGAACCAGAAGCTCACGCTACAAAGATACAACGCTTGCCCATACTCTCTAACTTTCCCTTCTAGAACTCAATATTTAAACCTTTTCTTCGAAAGGTAGAATTTGCATTACTTCACACGCGCTACCAAATTTAAATATTCTGGCATCGACAATTAGAGGAATAAAGGCTTATAGGAAAGCGTAAACTTAAACTTAACTGGTTAGTGAAAATAAATATAAATCCCTATTGCTTTAAGCCTAAAATCCATTGACCGATTGAGACAAAGAGCTTGAGTCGGTTCTTTGATTGTGCTCTACTCATAATTCTAAACGCGTGTTTAGATGGAAATGAGTAATTTGAGGATGGTCTAAAGCGTGGCTTATATGGAAAAAAAAAGGTTCTGCGTAAAATTGTGAACGTAGGTGAAAGTGAGAAACAACGAAAATTAAATTTAATAATTGGACGTAACGATAATTGTAAGTAACTTAATCGTAGCTTTTAGCTTTGATAGTTCATATGATAATCACTGTTTGTAATTTGTAATATATATATATATATATATCTGCATTAAAGACAGCTTTCCCTCAACAACATTTGCCGATTTTGTTAGGAAACCTTTAAAAATACATGAAAGTTTTTGGAGGATTGGAAGCTAATTGCGAAATGAAATAGTCTGTATACTTCAGATGTTAATCATTTAAAAAAATGTATTAACTAAACCTTATAAATTATTAAAGAAATATTTTAAAATTTAGGTATTGAATTTCTTTCTCCTGTAAATATTGCATTGTTGCGATTCAGGTATTCAAATAAGGTAACATATTTAACATTTCCAGAAAATATTTAGAAATAATGAATTCAGCACCAGAACATACTTCAATCTTCGCAATAATTTGGTCTTAAATCTTCATTTCTTCTCTCTTTGCTTATTTCCCAAAATACCATTACTACTTGGGCGAAAAACATTAATTTATTTCCTTCTAATCCAGATTTCAATTCATTTTTTTTTTCTGAAAGTGGCAGTAATTGGTAGTGTTAATCTTTCTCTTTACCAAATTGTTTTATATTCTGCCTTCTTCCACTCTTAGCAGTTATTATCTTATTTCGCAGCACAAAATATAAATACAAAGTTAAAAGAAACGTGCAAATCTGCTTTCTTGAAAAAAAAGAAATAACGTGCAAATCTGCTTTCTTGCCTTGTTGCTGTTCGAGGGTGTCTTCTGAATAAGGACTCAATGTAATGCTATCTATAAAAGCATAAATAACCAGGAATTAATAGTTTTTCTCCAGTATTCTTTGAATTTATGAAATAAGAATGCAATTCAATAGTTTTTGCATGAACAGAAAATGTTATCTAAAATCTGATTGTAGAAACTGACTACATTTCGTGTTTCATTTTTAGTTCAACGTTCATTCGTTTTAAAGTAAATATTTAGAAGATATTTTTTTTTACAATTTGGACTTTTATTATTTATCAAAAATTTTGCTAATGCGCTATTGAATGTACAATGAAATATGCTCATAGCTTTCAGAAATGTCTTAAGTTTACAGCTGCTTTTCATGGTTTTCAATTAACTGAAATAATTATTTTTAAATGACTATTGAGCTTCTCTTTTTATCGATTAGAGTAGTCTGTATTCAGAATTCGTTTTCACAATGTAAGTATAATGCAATCTCAAACCAAAGTTTGATCTTCTTGAAGTGATTCATTGACCAAATGGAAACAGAATGTAGATTGTCATTATCATGCATCATTCAAAATATGAATACGAAGGACGCAAACAGCATTCAGAAAGGCGACAGAAAATTTTAGGTATGCAAAACGAGTCAAAAATCAATATTAGATTGATACTGCTTGTAAGAGAATTCTGTAAACTTCGAGGAGCGCCATATAAGTGGTCTCTGTTCTTCAAGGAGAAAAGTTATTCTGTAGATCTACAAGTATTTGATATTCTGCAGAACATCTCCGCTTTTTGAAGGAGATGACAGGATATCATGCCTTCTCGAAAAGTAAAGGAACCTCGTACGTGACGACTTCGAAATCAAATAAATTTCTATAAACCAATGTCAACACCGATAGGGTTTAGCCTATTTGACTCTTGTTATTGGTAAACCTCAACCTCTGTACATTTTTGGTTTATCTAAATTTCTAAATCAGTTTGTCTATTGCTGTAAATGCCTTGAAAAATATTTTGAAGTATCATAATTTATTATGAAAAAAATCGGGTTTTATTGGGATATTCAGGTTTGCATATTTAAATTTAAAAAAATGTACAGAAAAGTATATCTATAATTATCTCAAGTTCTTATTTAGGAAAAAAAATGTTTAATGTATAACTTGCCAATTTCTGAAAATGTGACTTTTTAACATTCAGTACTGAAAACAAAAGTAATTTGGCGCAATAAAGTATCAATTATCTGAAAATTCTTTGCATGAAATTGTGTTTTTGAAATCGCATCTAAAATACATAACAGTTGACACATCATACTGTTTTCAGAAATGACATAATTTAAAAAAAATGTGTAGTTATCTGAGATTTATCACATATGCAATCCCTTCACAATAAATATAACCTCTAAATTTAACTCCATTTCAAACTCAACCCTGCATATTATTTTCGCTGCATGACTAAGCAGTTATGCAGTGAAACGCGATATAAAGGCGAAACCTAAAACCACTGAGATTCATTTATGTGGTAGTAACTGATACAAAAAGTTTGGGCGATAGACAGGGACTAAAAAAATAAGTAAGGAAAAGATAGAAAATATTCACTAGAGAATAGCAGATGATGGTTCAAATCAGAGTGGGAATATGGGGAATGGATACTTTTTCGTCCTGAGTAACAACTTCCCTCTCCATTGCCTCTCCGGATACGGATATCCTGCGTAGACGAACCAGCCACAAACTCATCAAGGAGAACTCATGTACTACTTTCGCTTGTTTCAAAGGATTTGGGGGATGCCTTTGAAATGCCTCGCTTTCTCGGAGGTCTCAATCCATGTTTAGCTAATGAGCATTTCAGTTTATGCTGAATTC